ATATAAAATCAAAAGCCGAAAATATCTGAAAATGTTCACAAATTTGATTTTGATAGGGACGAAAGTTTAACGATCTGCTTATGTATTGATCAACTTGTTCATAAAATCCAAAGTACATCTATGTTTGAAACATATGAATGTAGTCTTAAAAAAAAATTAATAGAACGCTAAATTTTAGTATTCTGAATCATTAAAAAAATAAAAATACCGCTGTAGTAGGCTTATTAACAAAAGCCGTTCTATCCTGTGTTGGCGACTGTCTCGCTAGTGAGAAGTAGGTCCGAATAAAAACACAGTCATAAGAATTCTAAATTCAATGACTTGATTTTAATGTATACATTTTGTGCACTATTCGGAGTAAGTTGTGACCATCTATTTAATTTCAAATCAGCTTCACTCGACGGGGAGTCAGCCAATCTGATTCTTCGCCTTCCTCTCATCAAGCCTTTGGACTGGAAATGGGATAAGTTAAGTTATACGTCATGTAATATCAACTTTACTTCCGATCTCTTTTAACATCTTTAGATACGGCTGCTAGAGAAGCATTAATCATGATCAATCATCAAAGAAGCTGCTTGTCTATAATAGCGCCCTCTATTTTCCATAAAATTCACTACACCGCTATCGTCGGGGACAGCTACGCAGTGCAAGGATTGCAGTGAAAACGCTGTAGCGACTGTGTAGCGATTCTATGGAAATCAGGCTTACGCAGCAACGATTGCAGCGAAAACGCTGGAACGACTTTGTAGCGATTCTAACCAGGCTTCATATGTATTTACACCGATCCATTGATACTACTGTATAATAATGTATTTATGGTATCGTGATCATGTCGCGTTAAGATGAGAACATGATATAATAATAGAAATGTTCAACGCAAAAGTCATGAAAAAAGATTGCTTTTTTTGTGAAAATGTTAACTCGATACATAATTAAACCAGTTTCTTTCGATGCAAAACCAAGAATAACAACTTGTGATATAAGGCGAGATAAAAACAAAATTACATCAACATTTAAATTAATATACTAAACCAATCATAGTGGTGGATCTAGGATTTAGCAATGGTGGTGGATAATGGAAGGTGAGAAGGCACGAGCGGGGGTGGGGCGTGGTTTTGGGAGGGGCATCCCCTCACATTTGAGTTTTTTGGAATTATAGACTGCTAGACGATCTTAGGTGGCATCTGAAAAGAAGTAAGCGTAAAATAGAAAGTGTATGTTTTACCAGAGTACACGAGAAGCACACAAACAAGACGAGTGACCATTATTTAATTTTTCACGGTAGACGGAGCGGGGTGGCTAGCCACCCTATTCACCCCCACCCCACTAGATCCGCCGCTGTATACTACGTTAAAGAAAGTAGCTGGAGATTTTATACTAAATAATATTCTTGTCTCGAAATTTTCAAGTCGAAAAGAAATGAAATTATGTCTATAGTATATGGACGAAATGTTTCGCATCATAAACCTTAATAGTTGAATGGTTTTTGACACAGGTTGGCATTCAAAGACTGGAGCCACTGCCGATGATAATGTTTACGACTTGTCTGGACGTGGATGCAACTGAACTATTTTTGTCAAAGCCGAGAGAAACATTTCCGTGAAGATGACGACAGATTTAAGATAAATTACAAATTCACCAGTCTGCTCACCATTCTAATTCTTTAAAATTATTAAACCTGTTCAGTATCGACCGGTCGTTCGACCGTCTGCCCACAAATCCACCTCCGCTCCCCGTGAGTGATAAAGCGATGCCGTCTGAGTGTCGGTGACATTCTGGACGGATTGTCGTTGACAACGATACGTTGCGCACCCATCGTGGCATTGCGGTCTTTATAGAATCGCTGCGGCCGAAGACCCTCGGTTGCAGTGAGTGCCTGGCTTAAGTGTGAGCAATCTGACGTAGGCCTACATGTTTAACTGGGAACCATCAAGGGGACTTAGTATCAAGGTACATTCTACCAGCTTACATGCGCGTAAAATAGGCTACGCGCCGCATGACAGTCAGCCAATCGCAAACTAGGAAAACTCATTTTTGTTACATGCGTTAAAGCACACGGTAGAAGAGTATCATTTAATCGTGCTGCAACAAAAATGTAGGCTACTGAGTATGTTGTCGCTGATGGCAGTTAGAGCCAGCTACATACACTGCCGTTAGTTACACAGCTGTGAATATAATCTGCGTACCTGCGTGGCGCTAATGATTACACCTGTACTCGTGCCAGTTTATCATTCTTGTAAACATTAAACTGTTGCGTTTTTATTAATGTGCCCACTGGCTGAAAATTTAAGAAAAACATAGCTACAGTGTCCCCAGTTACTGTGATGTTATAATTCGCGTGTAGTTTTTAATTGAGATGTGCCGAATGTGTCTCGACTTGGGCAGGCTGTTATGATAGCTATAGCCATAATAACTCCATGCGATAACTAAATTTGGTCTTGATTCCTCAATGTCCTTGACAGTGACTGTATAACCTAGTTTCATGGTGCGACATTACATAATTTACATTGATTTTACTTGCACTTTGACGTATATAATGCTTTCAAATCTGTTTTTTATTTGATTCACTTCTTACTAAATATAAATG